TTAGCACTGATTTAAAAACCATCCTACAGAATATGGCATTTGGTCTAAGTAATTCTATTAAGGAAACTCTGTAGTTTCATGTAAATTTTACCATGTCTGAAGCTACCAGAAATAATCTAATTTGTGAAGAACTGGATATTATAATTCAATTTGTTTGGATTCATAATTTACATTTTTCGCTGTTAATATAACCTTAGGTTAATCTTAAACATCTATGAAATTAAAGTAGCCTAAACCTAGTAAATTTGTTATAGAGAATAGGAAGTTTTGATTATTTATGTTTTCTATAAGACAGTAAATATTGCACAACCTGGATTACACCTACATTTTTTTTAATGTTCATTTATTTTGAGAGAGAAAGAGAGGGGAGAGGGAGGGGCAGAAAGAGAGGGAGACACAGAATCCAAAGCAGGCTCCAGGCTGTGAGCTGTCAGCACAGAGCCCAATGCGGGGCTCTCACTCATGAACCAAGAGTTCATGACCTGAGCAGAAGTTGGCTGCTTAACCGACTGAGCCACCCAGGCACCCTGACACTTACCTTTTTATACTCTGGTAAAACCAGGGCAAAATTATATTATCAAAATACTCTAATTTAAATGATTCATTTTACTTGAAATATCATATACAAATTTCTCCCTTTCTATATTTGTAAAACCATATTAACACTCTATTTAAAAGCATGAAAAACTTATTTAAAACTTGGCGGTACCATGTTTCACATAGAATAGACACAAAGATTTTCTTTTACAGATGAAAAACACAAATTCTGAAAAAGTCTGCACTAGTTTCTCTTCTCCTGCCAAAATGACAAAAAGAAAACTAAGCAAAACAGACATTTTAAGGGAAAAAATGAAAAATGCCTTAATGAATTAAACTCTCACAGGAGACTATAATTCTCTATAGAAGACTCGCTCAGTGTGGGACCACCAGAAGACTAAGCTGAGCAAAAAAGAACCCATGAGAGCTAATGTTTTCACTTTCTGTTGACAAGTAGCACAGTACTTGTGAGTGAAACTTCTGAAGAAATCTGAGTGGCTCCTTTATACTGTTAAAGTGTAAGAAGATTACTGAAGGTAAGAACAAAACAAAACAAAGAACAACAACAAAACATACGCATGAAACTAGGTCTATTAATTCCAAGAGAAGGAAACCCATGATGGAAGTGATTGCATGGTTTGCTAAGTGGTACAATTAGGAATTTTTAAGTGTAGGAAGAGGGGTGGGGGTTCACCTAAGTTGAGCTAATTAAGCATAAATTCCTAATAGGCCTGAACTTAGTGTATTAAAATAAGTCCCAGTGTTCCTTGTTTAGGAAATAGTCTTTATTTGAGTCTAGTAAGAGTCTGGTGTATTGTGGTATAATGGAGTCTCTCAGAGTCACTTGTAAGAAAACACTACATGTAGTTTTGATATCACCTAGGCAAGTGTCACATTAGATCTATGATAGATCAGAAAAACTGCAAATAGTGAACTACACTGCTTCAATAAATGATGTTGTTTTCAACTTCAAAGTGTTTATGGATTGTTTCAATTAGTTTTGACCATAGAAATAGAAAGGTTATGAGGCTTTTAACTTTTACCACTGCAGAAAGTAAATAGGAAACTGTGTAGCGAGGTTTAAAGTTTACAAGATCATGGACATCTCCTAATCCAAGAGCTTCATTTGTATATAAACCTTCTGGTATAAGAAACGTGTCACTTGCCCAACATTAGACCCTGTGCTAATTGGAGAAGTATTACTGGGGTCCATGTTGGGGAAAACAAAACCAAACAAAACAAAAAACCCAAAAACAAGTGGCTGTTTTTCTATTGTACTTACTGTCTACCTTAGTTTATGTAATTTTCTAAGACATTCCTATGTTTAAAAGTAATAGAATATTGAATTTTTAAAACAATAGTTTAAAGAGTGATTATTTTGACCAGCTATGTTATGGGTAGATGTATAAAATAAAACTAAAAAAAAAAAAAAAAAAAAAAAAACCCAAACAATTTCCCATTAAAGAAAAACATTCTTTGTGCATCTGCACTTTTTCCTTTATTTCCTTAAGTAAAACTAAGACTCCAAGGCTATTTAAGACCTATTATCTGGGGCACCTGGATGGCTCAGTTGGTTGAGTGTCTGACTCTTGATTTCAGCTCAGGTCATGATCTTGCATTTTGTGAGATCAAGCCCCAGGTCGGGCTCCGCACTGACAGCACAGAGCCTGCTTAGGATTCTCTCTCTTTCCCTCTTTTTCTGCTCCTCCTCTCACTCACTCTCTCTCAAAATAAATAAATAAACATTAAAAAAAAAAAAAGACCTATGTCTAACAGCACTCACTTTCTGTCATAATATTTCTGATTGCTCTTCTTGGCTTGCAGTAAAATCATTGCAAAGACTATTTTATCCTTCTAGTGATAGATATCTACAGCATCCCAACCACTGTTAAAATTCAATCTCACCTTTTCTGGAACTGTTTGAATAGATAAATAGGAAAATGTAACTGTATATTGGCAACTATAGACATCCTTAGGCTTTCCACTAAGTTAATGAAAAATTTAGTTTGTGGGAGCGTTGATTTCATCCAATTTTCAAACTGAGTTACTGCAAACCTACATTAAAAATTTAAAACATAATGTCAACATTATAAAAGGACACAATCTCTCTGTACACAAACCTCCCGTAGTGACTTTTGCAAATTAAAATGCTGAAAATCAAAGCATGGATGCTTAGAAATAAGGACCCTTATTAAAAAGAGGACATAGGGTAAATCATGTTGTTAGCCTTTCAAATTTAAGTATTTTAGGTGACAACATAATTATTTAATGTTCTTAATTAAACCGATAGAATGAGGAAAACCTAAGAAATATTTCTACTATAAAAATTTAACTTAAAAAATAAACATTCTTGGTCTGATATAACATGTAAACTTAGGATAAAATAATTTTCTTAACATAGGGATTCTTCAGAATAAATGCCAAGATAGGAATTAATTTACCTTTTAGAACCTTGAAAATTGATGCACACTTTTTTCCTCCAGTGATCATTTAAAGTGGCTTTAAATCTTATTGAGTAATATGCTCTAGGTTTGTTTTTGGATGATCACCTAATTTGGAAAGGGCTTTCCATTTAAAAACAACAATAATTTTAAATATTGTCATTCAATGTTTGCTTTAGGGTTTAATGATTAAGAGGGAGTAGAGCCTGTCACTTTGGGTCAGTTGAATTTAAGTTAAATTCATTACTATATGGAATATAAGTCTATATAGGTTAAGGAGCATCTGGTTTACATTTAAATATATAGAAAATTGTACAATTGAAATAAAATATAACCTAGGTTTTCATTAACTTCCTTTAAAATTGTAGAACGACGATTTCAAATGGATGAGTCCAAGTCAGTGTATGTATTATTATTTTTTCTTTAATTTTATTTATTTTGAAGAGAGAGCATGTGCAAGCAGGAGAGGAGGAGAGAAAGAGGGAGACAGAAGATCTGAAGCAGGTTCCCAGCTATCAGCACAGAGCCTGAGGTGGGGCTCAAACTCACAAACCATAAAATCATAATCTGAGCTAAAGGTGGACTCTAAACCAACTGAGACGCCCAGACGCCCCTATTCCTTTTCTTTTACTGTGGTATAATTAACATATAACATTAGTTTCAAGTGTACAAAATAACGTTTTAATATTTATATACTGTGAAATAATCACTACAATAATTCGAGGTAATATGCATTACTACACAGTTCTTGTGATGAGAACTTTCAAATTTTATTCTCACAGCAACTTTCAAATATACAATACAGTATTAACTATAGACACTATGCTGTACATTACATCCACAACCTTTAATTTCCAGTTGGAAGTTTATATCTTTTGACCCCTTTCACCCATTCTGCCCACCCCCATCCCCTTCTTCCGGCCACCACCAATCTGTTCTCTATGAGGTGGTTTTGTTTTAGATTGCATATATAAATGAGATCTTACAGTTTGGTTTTCTCTCGCTTGTTTCACTTAGCATAAAGTCATCATGGCCCATCTATAGTATCAGAGATTGTTTTTTATGGCTACATAATATTCAGTTATGTGTGTGTGTGTGTGTGTGTGTGTGTGTAAATATATATGTAAGGTCCACTATAAATACATATCACATTTTTTATCCATTCATCCATTGATGGACACTTAGGTTGTTTCCATGTCTTGGCTTTTGTAAATAATGCTGTAATAACTATGGCAGGGCATATATCTTTTTGAGTTAGTGCTTTCATTTCCTTCAGATAAATACACCGAAGTGGAATTTCTGGATCATATAGTAGTTCTATTTTAATTTTTAATGGGAACTCCATACTTTATTCCACAGTGACTACACCAATTTACATTCCCCTCAATAGTGCACAAGGGTTTCCTTTTCACCACCTCCTCTTCAACATTAGTTACTTCTCACCTTTTTGATAGTAGCCATCCTAATAGGTGTGAGATCATTGTGGTTTTGATTTCCTTTTCTTGGTAATTAGTAATGTTGAGTGTCTTTTCATCTACCTGTTATCTATTTGTATGTTCTCTTTGGAAAAACGTCTACTCGGTCCCTCTGCCCATTTTTTAATCAGTTTATTTTTTCCCAACTGATGTATAAGTTCTTTATGTATTTTTGGATATTAAGACCTTCTTGGATACAATTTTCAGATATTTTCTCCTACTTCATAAGATGCATTTTCATTTTGTTGATGCTTTCCTTCACTCTGCAGAAATATTTCAGTCTGAGGCAGTCCCACTTGTTTATTTTTGCTTTTGTTTCCTTTGCTTTTTATTTCACAACTGAAAAATCATCACTGAGACTGATATCCAGGTCCTTACAGCCTATGTCTTCTTTTATAAGTTGTATAGTTTCGGGGCACCTGGATGGCTCAGTCAGTTGGGCATCCAGCTCTTGGTTTCAGCTCAGGACATGATTTCATAGTTTCATGAGTTCAAGCCCCATGTTGAGTTCTGTGCTGGCAGGGCAGAGCCTGCTTGGGATTCTGTCTCCCTCTCTGCCACTCCTCCGCTCACACTTAAATAAATAAGCCTAAAAAATTAAAAAAAAAACTTTTATAGTTTCAGGTTTTATGTTCAAGACTTCAAATCACCTTGAGTTAGTTTTTGTATATGGTGTTAAATAGTGGTGCAGTTTTCCTAGCACCACTTATTGAAGAGACTATCTTTTCATGGTATATTCTTGACTCCTTTGTAGTTAATTGACTATATATGCATAGGCTTATTTCTGGGCTGTCTATTCCATTGATATGTGTCCCTTTTTAATGCCAGTACTATAATGTTTTGATTACTGTAGCTTTGTAATGTAGTTTGAAATCAATTATGTATTCAGTTTTGTTTTTTGCTTTAGTTTTTTTGTTTGTGTTTTGTGTTTGTTTATGGGGGGGTGGTCAAGATTTCTTTGATTCTTCAGGGTCTTTTGGGTTCCATACAAGTGTTACACTTGTTCTATTTCCATGAAAAATGCCAGTGGAATATTGACAGAGGTTGAATTGAATCTGTAGATCACTTTGAGTAATATGGTAATGTTAATGGGATATAATATGTGGGTGATAGTAATTTTTGCAATATATAACCATGGGATATCTTTTTATTTGTCTTTTTTAAATTTCTTTCACCAATGTCTTACAGCTTTCATTGTACAGGTCTTTCATCTCCCCAGTTAAATTTATTTCTAAATTCTTTTTGATGCAATTGCAAATTGGACTGTTTCCTTAATTTTTTTCTGATAGTGTACAGAAATGCAACACATTTTTGTATATTTCGTATCCTGTAACTTTACCGAACTTATTAATTCTAACAATTATTGGTGAAATCTTTAAGGTTTACTGTATATAATATCGTGTCATCTGCAAATAATGACAATTTGACTTTTTTTATTTGAATGCTTTTTATTTCTTTTTCTTGCTTAATTGCTATGGCTAAGACTTCCAATACTATGTTGAATAAAAGTGGTGAGAATGACCATCCTTGTCTTCTTCCTTATCTTAGAGAAAAAAAACTTTCAGATTTTCATTATTTAGCATGATTTTAGCTGTGGGCTTATCATATATGGTCTATATAATATGTTGAAGTTCCCTTTGTATATACTCCCTTCAGTTTTTATCGTAAATTGATGTTAAATTTTTTTCACCTGCTTTTTCTGCACCTATTGAGATGATCATATGGTTTTTATCCTTTTTTTTAAATGTGTTATCTTACATTGATATGTCTTATTGTTTGTTACATTAACCAAAGTACATTTTGATTGGCTTATCTAAACTTGATTAATGATATCCAGGAATTATTATGTCCAATATAAGGTGCATACTCATGTCACCATAGCTTCCACCAAACTTATCAATGGCTATGATCACAAAATGGATATCTGCTCTGACTGAAATAAATTGTAATACATTTGCTCATAAAGTTTGTCAATATTTTTCTATTACTGTTTAGTTGTTTTAACTGCCGTTTAATTGTTTTCTTAATTTGTTGGGTGCATATTATTTGTTTTGACAATTCCTTAATCTGTCTCTTTCAACCTGTTTCTTGATGTTTTAGATTAATACTTCCAATGCCAACTTGACCTATTCATATAAATACCCTAAAGAACCCACTGCAAAATCATATTCTAAATCGATAAAATAGTTTGGGTTTTAAAAAGAGAAGTCTGATTATAGTTTGCAGGGAGGATTTCAGAACAAAATGTATAAGAAGTAAGAAGAACTCATTAATCTCTCCCAGGATGTGAATGAATTTTGAAGCCATTTTTTGGAACACAGTCAAAAAAAAAAAGCTTTGAGGCAAAAAGTAGAAAGTTCACTTTTGATATGCAGATTTTGAAGTGTTAGAATGTTTTTAAGTGTGGATGACTTTGCTTCTACCTCATTATAGTGTGAATTCTATATGTACAGTGAACAATAGTGGTTTTTATTATAATAGTTGGTTCATTTAATCTTCTCGGGGCACATCATTCTAGTTAACATGATCTTGCCTTATCAAAAAAGTGGCTTAAGTAAATATTAAGTGACAGATATATTTGGGTAAGAGGAAATGGTTTAAGATGTTCTTTCCCATTTGAGTCCTTGCAGTACATTTTAACAGAAGTATAGACATGTACAATCATGGAAAACACCTCTGAACAGTTTGTCAGTTTTTGAGAAAACTTAATATTAGAGAGTGAGAATTTCAAGGAGTAAGTATTTAGGGAAGACTTAGATTTATAATTTAGAAAAATTAGAAACACAGTATACTACACCAGGGCTTCAGGATATAAAATAGAGAGCCAGAGATTATATATTAGTTACCATACCTAAAACTTTATATTTTGTTATTTTTGCTAACATTTCTTTTCTGACCCCGTATCAACTTTCATAAAAACATTATAGTATTATGGAAACATTAATTTATTAGAGATCTTGCCAGTTTTCTAGCAGCTCAATATATCCCAGCAGTACTGAAACAAATTGGTCCATCTATATTTCTAATCCAGACATTGAACATAAATATATCCACACTTTGATAAGAACCTGTCAGAAAACAGAATCTATTGTTGGTAGAATTCTATCTATAATTATATTTTTCTTGATGTTAATATTTATCAAAAGCTATTTTGCCATTTGGAGATGAGCACCTTCCATTAAATAGGATATAGTGGCTATATAAGACCTCAGTATGGTCACATAGAATGGAATTTTGAGAGTTAATTCTCTTCATTAAAAATACAGTTTGCTAAACTCAGAAGAGAAAGGGGGGTGCAATTAATGGGCAGAAACATTACTATCAATGTAATAAGCAGAACAAGGATTAAACTAAACAGACTCATGGAAGCAAAAATATTACTTACTAGAAAAGTATTTATTGAATGCCTACTCTTTGCAAAACTCTTTGACAGACATTTGGGATACAGTGGTAAACAAGATTGTTCTCTTGCTATCATGGAACAAGATGTTTTAATAGCTTCACTGAGAGAAAAAAATGAACTGTTTTTTCCAGTCCTTACCTAATTCTCTGTCATCTTTCACCTAAACAGACCTCTGCCACCAGCGAACTAGAAAAACAGAAACACAAAGTCAAAGTCAGTAAAAATCTGGAGTAAATGAGACAGGGAAACAGATACAAGGGTAAAGTTCTGGGTTTTGCTTGCAATACTCTGGGAGTCTACAAAGATTTGTTTACACTTAAAGAGCTTACAGGATATGCTTCCTCAACCACTCAAAACTATGAAAATATAATTATCAAAAGTAAAATTTTACCCTCAAGTTAATATAAAATAAACATACATCATATGTTTTATATAACCCATTATTAATGAAGGCTTTGGTGAAACACCATGTACAACTCTATGACAAAATCATATTGATTCTTTAGGAAGTAGTTGTGAGAAACAATTCCCAGATGAGGTTATTTCCCTCCCCACAATCCTCGTGAGGAGGACAGATCACTGTGATATAGTTATCCCTTTTTATTCTGCCACGCTATTATGCTTGAAAAACAGTAGTTTTCAAAACTTTAATGCAAATATAAAATGAGCCAATATACGATCTTATTTAACCCAGTAATTAATGAGGGGGAAATTAAGTTATTATAATTGGTGCAACAGATATCAGAGAAGCTAAATTATTTATAGTCAATTTAACAAAGAAATATTAGTATAGCATTGCTGGGTTAGATATAAAACTGGTTAATGCTCAACAGGCCATAAATCTTCAGAGCAATCTGTTCCACCAGATGGAATTTCTTTGTGTCAGTACAGTAGGAAAGTCTACAAGAAGAAATTTTACTTAGTCTGAAAACTATAAATCAATCATACAAAGTAACATCAAGTATGTATATTACTTTAGACTACTATTGTGTATTTTTTGGTCATCATTGTATACCAAAAGGACTTGGCCCCAGAATGTTTGCCTTATTTTGCCACATTTAAGAATAATGATTTTTTAAAAATTTTTTTTTCAACATTTATTTATTTTTGGGACAGAGAGAGACAGAGCATGAACAGGGGAGGGGCAGAGAGAGGGAGACATAGAATCGGAAACAGGCTCCAGGCTCTGAGCCATCAGCCCAGAGCCCGACGCGGGGCTCGAACTCACGGACCGCGAGATTGTGACCTGGCTGAAGCCGGACGCTTAACCGACTGCGCCACCCAGGCGCCCCAAGAATAATGATTTTTTTATAACCTTTGTCACATGGATAATATTTCCAGATCTCCTGGCAGTATGAAAAACTTAACTATTTGAATGATTTCATAACCCCCTTTCTCTTCGTTTGAGGTATGAGGAAAACCTTTCTCTCTCCTTTTCTCCTCTCCTTCTCTCCCTCTCTCCCTCTCCCTTTCCCTTTCCCTTTCCATCTTGATCTTGAGGAAAAAATATATTCTGCTGACAGTACTTTCTGACGAAATCTTCCCTTGCAAAGTTCAATCCCATCATTTTATACTCTGGACATAGATGATCACTAACATGGGCAGAATTTATCTGTAAAAAGTGTAAAGGGTCAATTACCTTTCTTCTGGATGAGGGGATATTTGTAATCTTTTGTAAATTCTTTGACTTTGGGGTTCAGGCAAAACAGTAATGGGGAGAGTCCATATTAACATTCTGTTTTACCTTCACAAATTTCACTTTATAAGATTCATCACTAATGTTTTGAAAACTGCCTATAACTATAGTTATTGTATAATTAGTTCAATTTGGAGAGCTACATATCTCCTGTTATCTCTAAATTCTGAGCCCACTCGGCCCTTGCCTGTAATTTGATCTAAATAAAAGTTTTAATGTGTACATTAAACAGAAAACTTATTTCCTGGCTCAGATCTAAGCTGAAAAGGTAATCCCTGTAGCTCTGTTTCTCAAATGACCGTGCGCATGCGTGTGGTTTCAATCTCATCTGAAGCACTCAGTAGAAATATAAATGATTGTGTCTCTACCCAGTTTTTTCAATCCTTATCTTGGGAGACTCTGTTGAGAGTCTGTACTTTTCATACTCTCCATAGATGATTACAGTACCCAACCAGGCTTTTAAGGAATGATTTGTTGTTTAATGTTCATGGTTTTGATACTTCCTGCATATCCAAATGGAATATCACATCTTGAAACAGTAGCTGGTTAGTTTACTACTTAATCATTTCAAGTAAATGTTCATTTGGCTCTTCCCCTTCTCCCTACTTATATAAAATAGAAAAATTAGGACAAAATTCAAAATGTCAAAGTCAGTTATAAATGCTACTACTCAAATAAACATACAGTCATTTTATTTCAGCATTTTAGTATTATTTTTAATATATTAAAAATAATGGAGTGTTTCACATTTACTATGGACACAGTTAAATACATTGGAAATACCCTTGTTTACATTCAGGCCATTATTATCAGTAGATAAAATGACAGCCTTGTGAAATATCTGCATTTGGAAATCTACCTCTAAAATATGTCAGAAGCTTTTTGAGTAATAAAGCACAGATAAGAGAGTGATGCACCTTAGATGATGGGATAATGCTCTGGGTGGTTTAATAGAACTGCCAGTTATCTGTTGTGGCCTCCAGGTCTTGACAGTGGGATGTGGCTCTTGGCCTCATATTTTCATATATTTTAATGGCAGGCTGGCACTCTAGTATGAAATTATTTTCAGTTTATTCCATATGGCTACAAAATCTGGTTATATGACACAACTGGCATATAACTGGAAAAATTTGAGTTTTAGAGAAGTAACACAGTGACAATTTCTAAAGTTCTGGCTACCAGAGAGACACCTAAGATCTTTTTAAAATTTTTTTTTTCAACGTTTATTTATTTTTGCGACAGAGACAGAGCATGAACGGGGGAGGGGCAGAGAGAGAGGGAGACACAGAATCGGAAACAGGCTCCAGGCTCTGAGCCATCAGCCCAGAGCCTGACGTGGGGCTCGAACTCACGGACCGCGAGATCGTGACCTGGCTGAAGTTGGACGCTTAACCGACTGCGCCACCCAGGCGCCCCCTAAGATCTTAACATATCTACTTTTTGAGACTTTTCTCTTACCTTTTCCTTCCCTGGACATCACGTCTAGATGTGCACACATCTTTACCCTTCTGAATGTGCCATTCTTTTTGCCTTTGTGGTATTTCGTTTATTGGTCCATCTGGGGGAATCAACTTGACCCCCAATTTCACATGACCAATTCCCATTCAACTTTAAGGTTCAAGTTAGAGGACAACTCACTCCACATGGCTTCAGTTATTATTTCCTTTCTTCATAAAAGGTACACTTGCATGAACTACCATAAAAGCCTATACTCTAATCTGTCATAGAGTTCATGACATACTGAAATTATTTACTTGCCTGTCATCTTTACTAGGCAAAATATTCCTTGGACATTTTATCTCTTTCATTGTGATCACCTAATTAGAAGCTTGTAACTTTGTAGGCATTCAAATAAAGATTGATAATTTAGTTATCCTTATTCTGCATGGGTGTATCCAAGCCTGTTGATAATATTCTTACTTTTGAAATGTAGAAATAAGAGATATTATAAGGATTGTATCCTAAAGAAAATTTGTTAACAAAATTTTCCATGTGATGTTATGGTATTTTCCCATTGCCTTAAGTAATATTTTCAGTTACATATATTATATGGATTTTCATTTTAGGTTGCTTTTCATATAATTGTGTCAGCACTCTGATACACAAATTTCCAGTAACTTTTTCTGAAGTCTGTGAAGATGCATCAGTTGTCCTTGACATTAAAAAATAAGTATATATTGATTTATAATATTTTACAAATTTTATCAAATAATCATTATAGTGTATATATATTTATTCTATGTAAAATATGTGAATACGGATAAGAAGCTCATAAGTATTGGCTTTTATTTGTTAGTTGGCCAAGAATTACAATTTTTTTATAAAATTTCTTAGAACCACAGAACATCTGAACAAACATGTATCTGAACGTGTACTGGTTTAAAGGATTTACCAAATTTTATTCTTTTTCAAGTTCCTTGAATTATGAAATTTGAATTAGCCATTAATGATGCCAAACAGCATTCTAAAAATAGCATACTGTTTTAGAATTAGGAAGTATAATACTAAGGAATTTTGAATATATACCAGCAAAGGTTTAATCTTAATTTGATCATCAATGATTTTATGACTGTGAAATGAACATATTTTAGCATGTTCTACATTCCTTATTATAAAAACCTTAAGTGTTCAAATAAAACATTAGGTGTTCAATTTATATTTTTATAATATGTTGATGATAAATAATGGTTTGTTTTGTTTAATGACATTGTCTGATTACTGATTTGGTATATTTTTCAGTGTTTTCTTTTTTGGTTTTTTAATTAGAATATTGTTCTGAGAGCAAATATATCATGGAAAAATCTGTGATTATAATGTCCAAAGTGAGATTATTTTCTATGCCATTTTGACTAGTGGAAATCAATGGTGTATGATGAACTTTAACTTAGCTCTACCCAGATAATACAAAATCGATATTTTATTCTAAGTTGGAAATGACAAATATCAAGTTATAATTCAAGGTTTTATGTAGGTTACTATACTCATAATAAAATAATTTTTCATAATAATATAATGGGAAACTTAGTTGCATTTTCTCTTTATCTTTTTTAAATTTAAATATAGATATAAAATGTTATATTAGTTTCAGGTATATAATGTATTGATTTGACACTTCTATACATTATTCGGTGTTCACCATAAGTGTAGCAACCATCTGTCACCATACGATGTTATTAAATATTATTGACTATATTCTCTATGTTGTACTTATCATCTCTTATTTTGTTGTGACTTATTTTATAACTAAAAGTACATTTTAATCCCCTTTATCTATTTCACTCATCCCCCTTCCCATCTCACCTCTGGCAAACCTTCTGGTTTCTTTCTTTATATAAGCATCTGCTTCTGGCTTTTGTTTCATTTGTTGGTTGTTTTGTTGTTGTTTTTGTTTTTTATATTCCATATATAAAAAATGTATATATGTTATATATATATAACATATATGTAATATATATACATACATACATATATAATATATGTTATATATATT